GAACGTTTAACAAAAGTGGAATTGTAGAATACATGGTCTTTCATGACTGGCTTCTTTCACTTAGCATAGCGTTTTCAAAGTTTACCCATATTGTAGCACATTCAGAATTTCATTCCTTTTTAAGACTGAATAATATTTCATTGTATTTCATTACATATATATATATAATCATCTTTTGTTTATTCATCAGTAGATGGTCATCTGTCTTGTTCCACCTTTTGGCTATTGTTAATAATGCCGCCATGAACAGAAACTTATTTGAGTACCTACTTTCAATCCTTTTGGATATATGCCTAGGTGTAGAATTGCTGGGTCATGTGGTAATTCTGTGCTTAATTTTCTGAGGAACTGCTAGATTGTTTTCCACAGTGGCAGTACCATTTTGCATTGCCACCAGCAATGTGTGAGGGTTCCAATTTATTCATCTCCTCACTGGACTTGTTGTTGTCTATCATAACCATTCTAGTGGGTGTAAAGTAGTATCTCATGGTTTTGATTTGCATTTCTCTGATGACTAATCTATCTTTTTCTTTTTCTTTTTTTTCTTTTTTCTTTTTCTTTTTTTCTTTTTTTTGAGGCAGAGTCTCACTCTGTCACCCAAGTTGGAGTGCAGTGGTGTGATCTCCACTCACTGCAACATCTGCCTCCCGGGTCCAAGCAATTCTTGTGCCTCAGCCTCCCTAGTAGCTGGAGTTACAGGTGCACACCACTGTGCCTGGCTAAATTGTTTGTATTTTTAGTAGAGATGGGGTTTTGCCATGCTGGCCAGGCTGATCTCAAACTCTTATTCTCAAAAGATCCACCTGCCTTGGCCTCCCAAAGTACTGGGATTACAGGTGTGAGCCACTGCACCCAGCCCATAATCTATCTTTTTCTAACTTGACTTCATTTTAGCCCTCCACATCCAGTGCTTAAATTCTTAGACACAAATCCCTGTCAGGGTCACCACCACCTTCCTACCAGGCTCAGAGAAAAAGACCATTCAAACTGCTGTACCAAATAAGTCAAGAGGTTTACCCAGCCCAGTAGCTAACTGGTTTGGGAAGAATACTAGGAAAAATCTGTTGGGAGAGAATATGGTTGTACTTATTAATATCTACCTCAAAAAAGTGAGGAATTTTAATTATCTTATTGTACATAAAATTATGTAGCACTTGAAAAACTTTTAATTGTCCTGCATACATGAATTTATCTGGAATATAATATGTGTATTTCATATATATGTGATTGTATTAGTCCTTTTTCACACTGCTGATAAAGACATAACTGAGACTGGGTAATTTATAAAGAAAAAGAAGTTTAATGGACTCATAGTTCCATGTGGCTGGGGAGGCCTCACAATCATGGCGGAAGGCAAATGGCACATCTTACATGGTGGCAGGCAAGAGGGAATGAGAGCCAAGCAAAAGGGGAAACCCCTTATAAAACCATCAGATCTCGTGATACTTATTCACTACCACAGGAACAGTATGGGGCAAACCACCCACACGATTCAGTTATCTCCGATCTGTTCCCTCCCATAAAACATGGGAATTATGGGAGCTGCAATTCAAGATGAGATTTGGGTGGGGACACAGCCAAACAATATCAATGATATATTTCTATTCTACAGATTCATGATAATGTTGTAATATTGGCAATGGCTAACATTGTAGAGTGATTACTGTGTGCTTACTTGTGTGGGTACTATGCTAAACACTTTACATGCATTGTCTCATTTAATCATTACAGTAAACTTGCAAGATAGGTATCATCATTATCTTCATTTTACAAATAAGGAAACTAAAGTTCAGAGAAGCTTAGAATTTGCCTAAGATTTCACTGCTCAGTAAGTGAGGGCATAGCTGACATCTGAAACTCAGCTGAGTCATACTCCATAATCAGTGCTCTCAGCTACTACTCACAACAGGTTTGAAGGGGCTGTTCTGAGAACCCAATCATTCTAACATGGTTGCAAAATAAAACTGTGTTCAAAATAACTAATTCAAAATAACAAATTCAAAATAACTAATTCAGAAGTAAATTTTTAAAGCACAGTCTCTTTCTGTCTCCATCCTATATGCCCTGTGGAGTTAATAAAGTAGGATAACCTTTTATTTTTCCAAGTTAACTTGTTCAACTTTCAAAGAGATTCCCTGAGTTCTAGAACATGATAACTCAGACTATGCTCACATTATTCACTGATACGATTTGGCTGTGTCACCACCCAAATCTCATCTTGAATTGTAGTTCCCATAATCTCCACATGTCATGGGAGGGACCAGATGGAGATAATTGAATCATGGAGGTGGTTCCCCCATCCTGTTCTAATGATAGTAAGTTAGTTCTCACAAGATCTGATGGATTTATAAGGGGCTTCCCCCTTTGCTTGGCACTCATTTTTCTCCTTCCTGCCACCATGTGAAGAAGGATATGTTTGCTTCCACTTCTGCCATAATTGTGAATTTCCTGAGGCCTCCCCAGCCATGCAGCGCTGGCTTTTCTTTATAAATTACCCAGTCTTGGGTATTTCTTCATAGCAGTGTGAGACGAGAGTAATATATTCACTGTCTTTGTGGTTTTCTTAGATTTTTATCTTAACCCTTCCAGGTAATATCTTTCTATACTAAAGTGGGAGGTCTTATGTTTATTGCAGACCCTCATTCCCTTGACATTTAGATCGAACCTCATCTAGATCTTCTTCAAGTTGTCAATAATCTTTATGATCCACCAAGAAAACTGCAAGGGTTGGGAGAAGTTCAGGGTGTTTTTGTTTTTGTTTTTTTTAACTTCTATGGAAATCAAAATGGAAGGCCTTGCCATGGGTTCAATTTTTCTTGCCATGTGCTATGTTAGTGAGAGGGGGTTTGGAGGTAGGGAAAGGCCTAAGGGAAACTCTTTCCTTTAAGAGAGGGCCATTGTTTCCCGTAGACTAATGGCCGTATTCAGTTTCCTTATGGAGTGGGGGGAATTACTTAGACTCAGCCTTTACTCTTTTCAGCATCCACTCTTGGGAACTGCATTATTACGTTGTAAAACAGAGCATCTCTCCTATTAGCTGTTAATTGAGCCCATCTTTTTCCTCTATGAGAAACTATAATGTTGACTTTTATTTTCAGAGCTCTGTATTGAGCCTCTTCTTTTTGGAGATTGATGGTGCTCAGACACCAGGGGTAGGCTGTGGGGTGGGGGGTACAGGCATAACAGGAAGCAACTTGTGGGGTATCAGAAGTTAAATATGTCCCAAAAACCTTTCTTGAGTTGTTCTGTCCATCACCTTGACTTTGCAGTGACCCAAGCCTTTGTGAATCTATGCTGAGAGCCCTTTCTCTCCCTCCCCAACCTCTTAAATCATTAGTTGAAATGAATAGTTTTATGGTAATTGTCCTAGTTTGTTTTATGTTGCTGTAACAGAATTCCTAAGACTGGGTAATTTATCAGGAAAAGAGATTTATTTATTAGACTGGGAAGTTCAAGATTGGGCGGCCTCATCTTGTGAGGCCTTCTAAGTGAAGGCCGCATACCATGTGAAAACATGGTGGAGAAAAGGAAAGGGAACTGAGCACAAGTGAAAAGGACAAATATGAGAGGCAGTCTCACTTTATAACAACCACTCTCCTGGTAACTAATCCATTCCCCGGAGAACCAACCCAGGCTTACAAGGCAGACATAAGTCCATTTTCACCTCTAAAAGGCACCAGCTCCCAACACTGCCACCTTGGGGACCACGCCTCAACATGAGTTTTGGTGAGGACAAGCCATCTTAAACCATAGCAGTAATAAAATGAAGAATCAAATTAAGTACAAGAGAATATTTTCACCAGTCTTCCTCATTTGGCCAGATCTGAGAACAACTCCCAGAAGGCATTTCTGGGCTAAGGACTTCCACCAGTGTCCAAATGATATTCAGGCCTCTGGTTCCTATAGAGGCCTGTACATCAGGCCAGTCCATTCTTAGCCTGGAGACAATATTGAATAATTACTCCACTGCCAGAAAATTCCCTGAATAGAGTCTCCAAAAACTTAGTATAGACATGAGATACATTTGGATGTGAAGGATGCTTTAATTTTCTATCAGTAACATTGCTTTAGAAAATAAAGTGTGTTTTATTTTTGTCTGTTTACCACTGTACCTCTATTACATATTTTAATATTTCTTTTTAAACATACCCACTTCTCTCCAGTCTAAGGAGTATTACTTTGTGTATCCATGTACATCTGAAATGAGATAACAGACCTGAAATTTTTCTGGTATTTATATGTGTGTGTTTACATACAATTGCAGACATAATATATTCTCTCTCTCTGTCACTCTCTCTCTCTCTCTCTCTCTCTCTCACACACACACACACACACACACACACTTGTCTTATTATATGTAGCGCAAAAGCAAATAAATAATAAAATATACTAGAATCGTCCCCCACCCTGCTCCCTCTCCCTCACAGGAGCCACAATATACAAAGAACAAAGAAACCTTTCTTTTCTGGCAGATGTGAGTTGCTCTGACTATATTGCCAGGAGAATTTCATAGAGCTTATACTGTTCTGAGCACCCTGCAATTCTGATCTGCAACCATTAGCCAGAGCCTATATGGAAACGGGCCACCTCTAGGGTAATAGCATTGTAAATTACAATCAATGCACCCAATTACACTCAGAAACCAAAAGATATGTAGTGCTCCAGTGTGCCTTGTAATCAGCACCTTTGAAAATGTAGGTAACAGCATTCTGAATAAAAAAAATGGAAGTGGAACGTCTTAGAAAATGAATGTTGGAATTAAATCATCCTTCTGATAGAAACAGCACCTTATATGACAGGCAACTTTTTTTCTAATATCATTTTATTGATTTTTTTTAAAAAAACTAAACTGTGGCCTTGTAGCCAAGAATGTCTTTAAAAATCATTTATTGCTCTAATCAGCCTGGCAGAGCCTTTCTGTCATGCTGATAAGGAAATTAAACTTTTCTCATACTGAGTTTACTTGCCTCTTATGCGCAGATGTTTTGTTTTTCTTTTAGGGAACTAATTCAGAAGTTGAAGTCTTTCATCAGCTTCTATAGTGCTTTGCCTGGCTACATCTGCAGCCATAGCCCTGTGGCGGAAAACGACACCCTTTGCTGGAATGGACAAGAACTCGTGGAGAGGTGATCTTTTTTGAAAGTTACATATAGCAATATTTGAGGAATAATTGTCATATGTTTATATAAAGGTTAATTATGTCTTATGTCTCCATTAATTTCACAAGAAAAATTCTAGAAAAATCTATGAGGCTGAGTGCGGTGGCTCATGCCTGTAATCCCAGCAGTTTGGGAGGCTGAGGTGGGCAGATCACCTGAGGTCAGGAGATCGAGACCAGTCTGACCAACACGGTAAAACCCCATCTCTACTAAAAATGCAAAAGTTAGCCGGGCATGATGGCGCAAGCCTGTAGTCCCAGCTACTCGGGAGGCTGAGGCGGAAGGATCATTTGAACCTGGGAGGTGGAGGTTGCAGTGAGCCAAGATCGTACCACTGCACTCCAGCCTGGGTGACAGAGCGAGACTCTCCAAGAAAAAGAGAAAACATCTATGATATTTTAGATGATGTCTATAATTTATAGCCCTCCTAGAAATTGCAAAGTTTGAAGCACATAGAGAACTGTGTCTGAAGGCAATTTTACAGAGTTTAAAGCATAAAACAACTTTCTTTTGTCTTCGATTCTTCCATCTCCTCATTATGTGGGTCCTTATGTATTTGATTTGAAGAAATCACATTCATCTTGATAACTATCATTTATTGAGAGTTAATTGTATATTAAGTACCATGCTAAGTGCTTTATATGTATTATTTATCTTTATAACAATCCTATGAAATGAATACTGTTATTTTCCCCCATTTTACAGATGAAGATAGAGAAAGGAAGAAAAGGGAGGGAAAGAGGAATACTATTTCACTGAGCAATGTTATTGAAATATTTTATTGAGCATTTTTTTTGGTGTTTTTTTGTTTTGTTTTGTCTTTTTGGCTTTGTTTTGTTTTGTTTTGAGACGGAGTCTCACTTTGTTGCCCAGGCTAGAGTACAATGGCGCGATCTTGGCTCACTGCAACCTCCGCCTCCCAGGATCAAGTGATTCTCCCACCTCAGCCTCCCAAGTAGCTGTGATTACAGGCACCCGCCATCATGCCTGGCTAACTTTTGTATTTTTAGTAGAGATGGGGTTTCACCATGTTGGCCAGGCTGGTCTCGAACTCCTGACCTTGGGTGATCCGCCTGCCTCAGCCTCCCAAAGTGCTGAAATTACAGGCATGAGCCACTCCACCCGGCCGAGTATTTGTTCATATAATCTATGCTATCAGTATCTATGAAGAATTTGCTCATCACTGAAAAGGAAATAATATATATTCATTATATTCATTTATTCAGCAAGTATTTACTGAGCACCTTCTAAGTGCCAAGCCTGTTGAAATGAACAAAACAGACAAAATTTCCTGTCCTCACAGAGTTTTCATTCTGGTGCGCTAGTGGTATTCCTAACCTCCATTGCTTTCCATGTGGGAGGAATGCTTGCGATTAAAAAATTAAATCAAGAGGATACAATGCTTAGGAAACCACAAGATGTTGATGAACATGCTTTAGAAAATGTTTGTACAAGTAGTAGCATGTTGTAGAGGAGAATACAGAAGAGACCCGAAATCGAGTTCTGAATCTTTCACTAATTAGTTGCTTAACCAAAGGCAAGTGACTTAATCTCTCTAGGCCTTGCTTTCCCCCATCTAAAAAAGGAGATGGTTGGATTAGAGCCCCTCCAGGCCTGACAGTCTGTGTGTATTTTTTTCTTATTAATTTATTCACTCATTCATACCTTCAACATTTATGTTTTGAGATATTATGTGTTAGGCACCAAGCTAGGTGCTAGGGATGCAAGTGCGAAAAAGGCAAGTTAGCTGCTTTGAAGAGTTTACATTCTAGTGGGACCCAATACCAGGACATGGAATGCTGAATGGAATTTATTAGCAGTATAATGAAGTGCAAAGAGGAAGGCTTTGGAGCCAGATGAATTTGGGTTTGCCTCTCAGTTCTGCTACTAACTGTGGCCTTGGGTGAGTCACTTAACCTAAAAAGTCTCAACATCCTCTTCCTCTGTAAGGGAAGAGCATCTCACAGAATTGTTGTAACTATTAGGAGAGGTCATAAACGAAAAGCCCCTAGCAGACTGGCACATACTGGAAGCTCAATTTATATTACGTCTCTATTTTTCCCCCTTTCCCCTTCACTTCTCCTCTTTCCAACGCAAAACAAAAAGATATGTCAGAAAATAGCTTATTCCTCATCTATGCTATTTTACTGACATGGGACAATGCAAATAAGGTTGCATGCCACCCTGGAAGAGGCATTGAAGTTGTATGGAGATACACTTCCCTCTAGCAAATGTAAATCAGCCTGGAAGGATTAATGGCTCCATGCACTAGAGAAATAATGTGTATTTGTTATCGTAAAAGCTCATCAGGTACTAAGAAGAATCATGAACATTTTTTTTTTTTAAATTTTCAGAGAAAAGCAGTTGGTATTTGGCTTTATAAAAAGCTGATGCTTTAAAACTGATACAAACAATAACTATTTGAAAAAGAATATATCCACAGATCAAATATGTGCTTCTTACATAAACTTGATGAGAAACCATTCCAGTACCTTGTCCAATGTTATGTTACTATAGCGAAAAATGAACAACTCGTGAATATTTGTTTTAAGCAGCTTATCTTCTAACCAGGGTCTCTTATTAAAAAGGAAATTTTACTTTACAAATATATTTATTTACTGATGTGTTCATTCATTCATGTATTTATTCTAACAAATATTTGAGCACTTATCCAATATCAAGCACTAATATTTGTTTCTTCATTGTGATTGTTTGAAGCAAATATTATAACCCTGCTGGATTTATCTTCTGTTGTTTATGGTGAAAAATCAGATTGATCCAGTTTTAGTTAATTTTAAAATAATTTATTCCCAGGCCTATGTATTTTGAATTATTGGAATTTTTATTGAATTTTGCTCATACTAACTACTTCATGTTTGGTACACTTTAGTGAAGGATGATGCCCTGGAACCAAGAAATTTCTCTTCTATCAAATGGTGAAATCCAAAGCCTGCTAAATTTGAATGAGTCCAAAAGTTAGCCAAATGTACTTTTATATCATTAAAATAACTGGTAACTGAAATATTTTTGTTACATTTGCTAGCTTTAAGCCTTAAGGTATTGAACAAAATAATAAAATAAATACTGTAGTATGGAGAAAAGCTATTATTCCAAACTTCTATTCATATTTCTGATTTCTGAAAAATCTTTATTTTCAAAATGACTTTTATTGTTAATATATACTATCCAGGAAGGAAGGAAAGGAAAGGAGGGAGGTAAGAAGGAAGGAAGGATGAAGGGAAGGAAGGGAGGAAGAAAATAAATCAAACATATTTTCAGACAGAATAAGGGTAGTGTAATCCAGGAAGTGACTCCTTCTTGGTTAGTAACCTCAGGTTATAATTAACTTGTACTTGTATTGCTGACCTAATGCAATGATAAAACTAGGGAATAATGTCAAACTAATTTTTTTTAAATTACTCAGGAATATACCTTTAATAATATGAAGTTCTTTAGCCTGAAGACACGTGTGGCCTGTATTTGTAACATTTATAAAGATTAGCTTTGCACTTGTGTCTCATCTATAGTGGAAACCTCTTTCCAGAGCTTTTCAATAAATTTCTCATTTAATTTAGTCTTAAGTAACAGTTACCACTTCCTATTGTCCAATGGGTTGTAACTTTGTTATCTTTCTAGGTCAAATTTGTGTGCCTGTAAAAAATTTTACTTTTAGTCAAGAAAAATTACGAAAATCAAGGATCCTGATAGGGAATGAGACTTGTCAGTGGAGACACTTGATCAAAAGGAAAATATTGATGTTGAGAGAAATACTGAGCAATATTCATGTCAGCTGGGTTGTTAGAGCTGTTTGTAGCCTGCTATGGATGTATAGATCACTCAACTTTTAAAGAGTTAATTCCTTGTCTCTCTAAATAAGGTCATATTTTCCATCATTTGAATTTTTATCTCTTGTGAATGCAGTCGATTGAAATATGAATGAAGAAAATGTTTACACCGATTCAGTCTTAGGGAGTACCACCACATAAGCCTATCATTCATCCTTCTCAGCTTCCCACCACCACCCCATCTGGACTTGAGATAAACATTGGTTTGTCTACCAGGACTTAGCCGAGAAACCTTCAAATTAGCAAACTGGGTGCATGTGAGATATCCCCTTTTATGTGAGCCACCAGCATATCCTACAGGCAAAGATTTCCTACAAATGCCAAAGGCAGAAAGATCCTCCAGCTTCTGCCTTTGTCAAACTACAGAGAATTTCAATTAGAGAGTCCTTGGGACCAAGAGAAAGATAAAGGAACCCAGATTGCTGAGTTAACACTGGGCTTCCCAATAGGTAAATGCCATTTTTGCCCTGATAACACCCAAATGAAGAGCGAACGTTTTTGTAAATCATTCTCAAACACCCTTTTTGCTAGGCCAAATATCTGGATAATTGACTGAATTTTCATTCATCTTCTGGATAGTTTGATACTTTATAAATTAGTATAACAGAGCAACTATACATTAGTTTTAGTTTCTATAAATTAGTTTAGAATCTATAAATTGGTAAACAGAGTTTGATGCTTGTTTAGATTAGTATAACACAGAAACTGGTTAAAGTATATATGTTCAAAAACCCCTAGTTTCTGAGGAAAAAAAAGGTGTTTTGTCTTTACATTTAATATCTGATAGGCCAGGCATGGTGGCTCACATCTGTAATCCCAGCACTCTGGGAGGCAGAGGCAGGCAGATCACGAGGTCAGGAGCTCGAGACCAGCCTGGCCAATGTAGTGAAACCCCATCTCTACTAAAAATACAAAAATATGTGTGTGTGTGTGTGTGTGTATATATATATATATACACATACAGGCGTGGTGGCACGTACTTGTAGTCCCAACTGCTGGGAGACTGAGGCAGGAGAATCGCTTTCCAGGAAGTGGAGGTTGCAGTGAGCCGAGAACCCAGGAGGCAGAGGTTGCAGTGAGCTGAGATCATGCCACTGCACTCCAGCCTGGGTGACAGAGTAA